TAAACTCACCTAGTCTCATTTATCTTAGTGAACAGACAGCGCTTCCTCTTGGCGCATTCCCAGATCCCAGCAGCTAAACCTCCAGTGCGTTTCCTTACTCACTGACTGGGCTCAAAGGCAATGAGGATCCAATGAAAAGTGATAAAGGGAGCCTGTGTACAGGTAGCCGCGGTCAGAGAAAGTTTATTGACTACCATGGCAGTAAATATAGGGGCTAAATAAATCTGGGAACTAGACTGAAATTTCTGGAGTAATACCCACATGATAAAAAGCCCTCCAAGAGTTTGTATTCTACTTGGAGAAACACAAAGACTGAGATATATTTTAGAAAGTTTCAAGACAATGAAAAGTAAATTAATACAGTGCCACGGAACTAGCCTTCTCTGAGGTATTCTCTAAAATATAACTTGTGGTTATAAGAGAGCTTCTGTCTTCCTGATCCTCTTATTTCTACGAGTACTGGTATCTTCTCTGAAGAGTAGATAGAGAAAAATGAAATAAAGTTGTTAAAATCCAAGTGCTTTTTAGAATAATTTTTCAATCATGTAACTGAAAATAAATTCTTTCTCTTTCGAGTAAAAATAAAAAGTAAATGTCAGGTTACAATCATCATTAAACCTGTAAAGCCAAGCTGTAAATTATTAAGCTGGGAAGAAACTGGATTTTATTGCTTGTAAAAAGTTCAAGTAAGGAGTGGGAGAGCCAAGGCACTGCTCCTAAAATGAAAAAGCATTTAAAGAAGTGGAGAAACAGGATAAAGGAGCCAGAGGGAAGCAAGAGAGCTCCCCTGTCTCTCAGAGCTGCATGCTCCTGAGTCCTGTGGTTAAGCTCTCGCCCTTGATGTTTCTGGATATATTGCAGTAAGCCAAGGTGGGTTTGGCAGAACTCTGAGCTTGTAGCTTCTCCCTGCGCTGTCCCTCACATGTGAGAGACATAGTGTGTGCCCAGAAAAGAGGATGCCCACTTGACATGTTTAATTTGAAAGTGAAGGAGCTATGATGGCTAACATTTCCCACTCAAGACACTGCTGATCCAAGGAGCAGCTCAGATAATACGGCCCAGAGACCTTATGTGACACTCCTAGGCCGTGTTAGCCATTGGGTGTGACCTACCTATAGGCTGTGCAGTGCAGGAAACTGCTGAGTTGCATGTTGGTGCTGTCAAGGGCAATGTGGGAAAGTGCAGCTTAAGTGAATAAAGGAGTTTAAGAGACTGAACAGTCCTGCCATAGAGTGCACAGAGGAGTCCGATGGCTCTTCTGTGCTAGTTTTGTTAGTTTGCTTTACAATATGAGTCAACAACTATTTCATTGTTTGGTTTTCTTTGTCACTTTGCGGTAAGCCCTCTTAGCAGCAACAAGATTTTTAAAGTGCATGTTTAATGAATGAAATTTAATTTCCATTTCTGAAAACATTCACAATGACAAAAAACAATGAAAAGATATTTTAGCAGTTCACGATAATTTGCATGAAGTACTTTTCAATATTGACTACCCACGTGGGGACTGTAGGAATAACCCAGGCAGCTACAAGATGCAGATGTACAGAGCATACGTCAGCGCCTACTTTAGTAGTATGTTTTAGAGAAGTCTTTGATGCAAACTGATGATTAAATAATTGCATGCACAGAGGTTGGAATACATCACTCTTTGAAGCATGGCTTTTCATTTAAACTAAATGACAGAATTCTCTTGGTTAATTTCATTTACTCTTCAATACCTAACTTTCCTTGCAGAAAATGGTGAAGTGCTATCACAGATACTAAAATCAAACAACCCAAGTTAAAACCATTGCAATTAATGAGTGAAAACATTATATGACATCAAACCAATATGATTGGGAATCATGATTACCACATACTTGTAAGGTCTCCAGTGTAGGTTTTATTGGTCTTGTTCTGTACTGTTTTGATCAATTCTATTATACCTGATGATATAGGCAACTCTTTTTAAAAATAGCAAGAGGCACAATGGTAATCATTTTTGATCACCTGGTATTGTATTTTTGCATTATGTACTATGCCCATCCTTCTGTTCTAACTGACTCTGTTTTGTTTAGTCACGTTTGGTTTTATTCTCTTAAAAAAAGTAATAAGAACTCTATGTAATCTATTAACTAGTGATTTCTTACTGTATATTTTTTCTTGAAATTCTGTATTATTTGTATCCTTTTACTGTTTTTTAAAAAATTTTTTCTCTTTAAATAAATGAATAAAAGAAAATGAAGTGATTAAGTTGCTAAGACAATGGTCCCCTTAACTGAAGACCTTTGCAAATCACAGATGGGGATTTAGCTCAGTGGCTTATGCACCTGCCTTGCAAGCAGGTGGTCATGAGTCCAATCCCCAGTCCGATAAAAAAAAAAAAAAAATCACAGCAAACTGGATGGAGTGCATCCAGTGCTATTTCACTATCAACAGATGTGCTAGGTGGTTACATGTCACTGTATTTGGCTCTTCTTATTTAAGAAATAGAAATTGTAGAACAAAACACCTTGAGGGTATAACACATAAAGCTGTTTAGTTAACTGGATTTCCTCACTCTCACTGCTCCACTCTGCCCCCTTCTGGTGGGGTCATGTATCTACTACGGGAAACAAAATCTAAAACCAGTGAAGCCCATTGTTAATGTTGTTTTGCTGCAAACTGCCAGCTGGCACTGATGTTAGTTTCCTTTGGAGGAGCAAGAGGGCGAGGACCCAGGCTGAGTGGCTTCTACTTTTGTGTCTGTTTCAATCAAAGAAACTTCAGAGAAAATTTAAAACACATTTGGTGATAAATTTGTGGAACAATCTGTCGTCTCCCTAGAACACTAAGGACTTTCTGCATTTTGAAATTTCTTCAAGTGACATAAAAGGCTGTAAGAAGCCAACAAAGTTTACCAGGATAAATAATAAATGCAGTCCATTTCATGTTAATAAAAGCAAGTCTACAAATGTCAATAGTACAACATGCAAAGGAAGCATAATAAAGAAAATATGAGCCAAACTGAATAACTGAAATGATCATTCAGAGTATTATATCTTATACTAATCAGGAAACATGATCTTTTGCTCTTTATAAAGAACAGAGCCATATTTGAAACTGAGTTAAACATTTTTATGTTACTGCACTTACAAAGTAAGGGAGAAAATAAGGAAACAAATTGGGATGAGACAGAAATGCCAAGTCTGAAAAATATTCTATTTTGGGAGACTATTTGGGAGAGAGATGCCTCAGCACTTATATAATTAACTATCTCTAAATGATCAAATGAACAACCTCTGAATAAATTAATTCAGGCCACGTATTATTCATTAGGGTTATTTTAGTTCATCATCAAAAAATAGGCAGGCACATAGCAGAATTCTGTACAACAAAAGAACTCCTTCAAAACAGTGGAAGTTACTAACTGGAGCCATAATAAGGTGCTTTAAGTCTATGCACGTGAGTATTAGCTTTAGGAGCCTACGACACGAGGCAAGAGCAGAGTGGAGGCAGAAGGCTCACTGATAAAAGGAACCTTCAAAGCTTTGTAGATATTCAAACTAAAACACGAGACTTCCTGAAAAAGAAGCGTATCCTGAATCAAGATAAGCATAATGAAAAGTTATTCATTCTTCTTGTTAGGAAGCCTTACTGTAAGTCTCACAACCATGCACCTCTGCTACCTAACACTGTCAGCAGGTGTCCAACTCTGCTGGAACACACTGGCTTCTCTCCCACTTTTAGTCTCCTCTCATATGATCTCTTTCTTCTCACTGCCTAAGTCTTGCCCACACTGACCCAGTTTATTACTCACCAACTGCTCTGCAGTTCAGGCTTAGCTGTCCTCCCACACAAGCCTTCCAGCCCCTCAAGACTTTGGTCATGGGCACCCTAGAATCTGCACAGACCTCCTCAGAGCATAAACATACCTCATAGTAATATTTGCTTCACTTGAGAGTACCTTCCATTAGGTTAAGAGTTTCTTCAAAGCAGAGCAGGTAATGAGTTTATTGAGAAATCAGAGCACTCAGCATTACCTCTTCTATACAATAATACCTAAGTGCTTAATCATAGATGGAGTTGGATGCACTCTACCAACCGTAAAAGACTTCATCTTCACAAGAGCCTGGTAAAGTAATCACCAGAAGGCTTTGACAAGTGGCCTAAGGCCCCACAGCTGGCAAAGTGGCAGAGCTGGGATTCAGAAACCACAGTTATCACTGCAGGGTACATTGAGCCCTACCCTGACTGTACATCGGTTTAGCTGTACATCACCATCTGACTGTTGTAGACTTCATGAAAAAGGCAATCATCCAGGATAACAGCACTCTTTATTGATATCAGCCATTCTTTAGAATGAAATCTGACATAACCTCAAAAATCAGCCTGAGATAATGCACTTGGTGGCAGCTAAGACTTTATTTGAATGTACAGAATTCTGGGGCAGCGGCGGGGTGGGGGGGTGACTGTGGGATCGTAGCTTAAGCCCAAAGAGAATATGAGAATCAATTTGGCATCCAATTGCCCATGAGACCCTAGAATACCCCCCACCCCGCAGCCATTGGGGAACTTAGGTTTTCTCCATTATTGAACTATCAGAAATCTTAAAAAGTAAGGTTTCCTTCATTGAATTAAAATCTACTCCCATTTTGGTGGCATCTCCACTCTCCATAGGTGCTAGAATGAGCCATATTGTCCCTGACATGACCCCTTGTCCAGGGTTTGAAGATAGCTGTGGCCGCCTCTTCTAAACCTTCTCTCTACCTCCACATCTTCATCCCTTTCAACTGCTCCCCATGTGACTTTCTTGCCAGGCCCCTCAGCACCCACAGTTTTCTCCACTAGAAATAGCTCTAAGGGTCACACAGATTGAAAATAACTGCCAGGCTCAGCAGACAAAGGAGCAGGAATTCATCTCATATTTTTGATCCTTAGAGAGGTATCATTTCATAGCACTAAAAGGGATGAAGCCTTGCTAGAATGGAAGTGGTAATGGAAAAATAAAACGTATAAAATGTACTCCTGAGGGTACTCACAGTGAAACTGCTCAGGACCTTCTGTATTCAGAGATTGTCCTGAGGTCAGTCAGAGAAAACGTGTCTTACATAGCTACTGACAGGGACCTGGAAGGAATTAAAACAGTATTAAATGACATGAGAATAGTCTCACAATGTCGAAAAGGAGTAAACATGGACAAGGAAGACTAACAATTATATATGTGTATTTCCAGCAGAAACAATTCCTTAAAATAAATCTTACAGAAGGGTGTGTTGACACCTACTTTTTCACAATTCTTGAGTTCTCTTCAATGACAGCACATTTCTCCTCTTGTCAGCTGGAAAATGAGAGTTTTCAAAATACTTACATGAAATGTTATTGCCTAAATCATGACATAGTCCTAACAAAGTTGGCTATGAAAGAGAGGTATATGGTTTTGTGTGTATGTGTGTAAAAGAAAGGTACATAGATTTGTGTTTGTGAACGAGGAAGAAAAAAACACAGAGAGAGAGAGAGAGAGAGAGAGAGAGAGAGAGAGAGAGTGTGTGTGTGTGTGTGTGAGAGAGAGAGAGAGAGAGAGAGAGAGAGAGAGAGAGAAAGAGAAACAGACAACAAGAGATGTCATCTTGGAAGGCTTCCAAGGAAGTGCAGAAGGCCTGGGAGACCGGCTGGGTTCTGTGTTCTGCCCATATTTAGAAGGCCAGGGGAACAGATGCTACAGAGAAAAGTGGAGAACATCAGCCCATAGGTAGGAGAGAAACCATGCCACAACCAAGGGGAGAAGTTGCAAAAGCTAAATATACTGAGAAAACAAGGCAGGAGGCTCCTGAATTGAGCCATGAATACGTCACTGGATGCTCAGCAAAGACAGCTTTAGGAGTGGGTGTAGCTGTCACCCCCAGAGCAGGGGAATGAAGGATGGGGGGTGGGGAGAGGTGGCTGCCATTCCCTCTGACTCTCCAAGTTATAAGTATTTTTAATGCTGCTGAAGTAAAAGAAACAACAAAAACCTACCTGCTACATTTTAACTGGACCAACTTAATCACTAATAAAAATTTAAAAGCAAATTAAAATCTACATAGGAGAGCAGTGATAAATTTGAATTGCAGACAAAATGCCAGAGAGATGGAGAAGATTTTGGACTTTTTCCTTTCAGGTTCTCTGGTTCCTGTGAGGTACAGTTACATAGGTTGAGACTTCTATGAACCAACCCTATCAAAATCATATTGCATTTAAAATAAAATTTAGTCGTTAACAAAATAAAAAAAAACAGATCATAAACAAACTTATAAAAGAGATATCTGGTTTTTTCTATTAGAAAAAAGAATATTAGAAATGAATATTAGCAAGACTCTCACAATACAGTCTGACCTCTCAATAAATAAATACTGGGTACTTACTAAGCATCAGCTCGAGGGATCCAACAACCTAAAAACCAGATAAAACAGGGCTCTTGCCTAGTGACGCTAGGGGAGGGTGGCGGTGGACAAACACACAGTGTGCCAGGTCATGATTGCTTTTACTGAGAAGCTAAGGGAAGGAAGAAGTCAGAGAAAGCTCATGGGGCACTAAAGAATGTCAGGGAATGAGCTCACAGCGGAGCTCATTAGGAACTCATTAGGAGGAGGCTGATCAGGAGAACTTGGCAGCATCTTTGGCTCTAACCCTCAGGTTGAGCCCCAGTGGTGTGGATTAACTCTAAAAGGACCGTGCTGGCACCTGTTTGAAGAGAGAGGAGCAAGAATATAGCAAGGCAGACTGACAGGAAGGCGACCTCCAAGACCTGGGCAAAGGACAGTGGTGGCCTGAGTTGGGTATCGTGTCAGTGGTGGTGAGAAGCAGTTGGATTCTGATTACCTTTGATGGTAAAGCCAGCAGAATTAGCTAATAGACTGAATTTTAGATACGAAACAGAGTAGCCATAGATGGACTCAATGTTTTGTGAATGAAGATAGCATTTGCTTGCATTTGGAAGATAATGGAATAACAGTTTTCAGAGGAGGTGGTATATTCATTTTTATGACTCGTATAACAATTTAACACAAAACAAGTGGCTTAAAAAGCATCTGAAATTTATTCTCTCAAGAGTTTGGAGGCTAGAAATCTGGAATCAAGGTGATAACAAGGCATGTTCCACCCAAAGAGTGCAGGGAAGACTTTTGCAGCTGCTGATCCTCAGATACCCAAGGGACAGGGCAGCATAACTCCTTGGCTGATTTGATCTTCAGTCTTTTTGCCTTGGGCCTTTGTGTTTTGCTTTTTTGTGTTTATAAGGCACTTGTCATTGGATATAGTGCCCACCTAAACCCAAGATGCATTTGTCTTAATCTCTTTATCTTAATTACTTATTCAAACATCATTATTCCAAATAAGATCACATCTGAGGATGCAGGTGATCCATTACTTTGAGAGGAGGCATTCAGCCCTTGCAGGAAACTGGACAGAAAGAACTCTACTTTGACATACAATGTGAAAGATACATAGTAAATGTCTTCATAAAAAGCCAAGTAGGTTGTAAGATTTATATCATGAGTTTAAGAGAAAAATCTGGAATGCAAATAAAAATTGGAAAGTCATCAATCTATCAATGTTATACTTCTATTATAGTACATTTTTATCTATTAGGCATTTTTATCAATTTCAAAACATGCATTCATCAGTTTATGAATCAGAAATCTGTTCTTCTAACTCCTCAATATAAAATATTTTCTTAGATGCTACAGCCAGAAAAACAGAAGCAAAGCAAATTATTAAAGAAGATACACAATATCTGAAAGATTGTATGAGTGTAAATATTTATGAAATCAAAATCTTTTTGTCTTTGCTTATAGTTATTAAATAAGGAAAAGGACATTGTGAAATTGGCAATGTACTTACCTTTGTGCCAAGACCTGTACATTACACAGCTAACAGATTTTCTAAAATTCCATTGCCATTAAGTTCTAGATTCAAATTGCTAATATTTCTTTTTCTTTCCTTGATTTCTTAAAAGAAGAAAATGAAAGTTAAGAAACTCCAAGTTTCAGCCCTACCAGTTCAAAAATTGCCACAACTAAGACTAAGAGGGTGAGAAATAAAATTTTTTCTATTAAAAAGTAAGAAAAATAGTCACAGAATAAAGAAGCAAGGAACCTACTCACTTTTCTTTAAAAGTTTCATCAGCTTGAAATTCAACCTCTGGAATTTGGCAAAAGATGAAGGTTTGATAATAGTATGGAGGAAAACTTTGAAAAACATATTCTATACTATAAAATAAGGCTTAGAACAACTCCACTTGACTGAACTCAGAGATAATCAGTGAATATTTTCAGCTAGGAAAGTGGTCCCTTTCAACAGAGTCTGACATTCACGCTGGCAGAAATCATCTGTGGGTTTGCATTTTCAGTGTCTGAATAGTGTAAAATCAGGCAACACTAAAGCTTATGATGAGGATAATTTCACTGTCTGTAGCAAAGCTGTTAAGTCTTTTAGGTTTTAGAGAGTCTCAAAGGTACTAATTGTGAGCATCAGTTACCATGTTAATGAAGTATGGAAACAAATAGTGACTTACAAGACAGAGAATGTCAAGCCAAGAGCTGTCTGCATGAGATAGATGTCAGAATCTCAAGTGAATCTTCATTCTGAGTGAGGTTATTTTTTTACTTTGCTTGTTTGTTTTATTTTTGTTTTGTTTTGTTTTGTTTTTATCTCGGAAGAGATTCTGGAAAAAGATAGCTAACTGCTTCTCATGTTTCTTTAGCATAATTCTTATTGCAATCAACCCATTTCTACTGGGGTCAACAGCAGGTAGGAGCGTCTGTAGTCCTCTTTCCTCCATGGATTGTGTACAAGAGTGAAAGTGAAATAAAAAAGACATTTCCAAGATCTTAAATGTATGGTACTAGAAGAACTTGCCTCCAGAAGATCCCTGAGTTCTGTGAAGGAGATAGACATTCATAGCATAACGATACGACCTCTCCTACCCACTACACAGTTATTTGAATTTTCTGACTCCCACTTCTGGGAGGGACAGAGAAGATTGAGAGACACAGGAAACAGGCTTCCTGTGGACCTCTAAGAAAGCCAGACGCCACCCCCAGTCACGCCTCTTCTAATACTTGCTACATCAGCTCCTTTTAGTTGGAACTGAGGCTGTATCTCCAAGGTAGAGTCATGTATCTGAGGAGCTTTGGCAGAGAGAAGCAGAACAAGCAGAAGAAGGGACAGAAAGTTGGAGGACATAGAAAATAAATAGTGGTATAATGCAAATATTTTAGGTAGGTCAGATAAGAAAAATGATGTCCTAGAACAAATAAGAGACCCAATAGCCCCAGCAAGACAAAGAAACAGATCTAGGGAACCCAGTAATTAAACTATTCATAGAAGTAGACTCTCATCAGAAGAAAGACTATCAAATTCAAATGTTTTGAAGAGAAAACACCTTCAGTAGACATATACACTATGATTTTTTTAAAGTCCAGACACAAAAATAGAAAATCTGTCCAGTTTCCAGATGGAAGTAACAGTAAGGAGAGCAAAGTGGCTACAAATAACCAGATTCCATCAGACTTCTCATCTACCACATTTAAAACCTAGAGAATAAAGGAATGCCGTGTACTCATCAATTACAGGAAATGTTTACAAAATGAGTCTATCTGACAGGGGAAAAAGGTATGAAGGACTTAGAGCAGCTACATATTCATGGAAAACTAAGAGAGAGATGAATGATGGCAATCCATAAATTTCTGCAAAAGAAAGATGACAGAGGGAATAAAAGACATTGGAAAAGAAGGAGGGAGAGAAGGAGAGGAAAAAGAGTCATAAGTAGTTATGCGATGACACATCGACACACTGTGGGAAATGGTTCACCTTCAGTAAAAGCAAAGAATCAACCTCATGCTATTGAAATGTTATTATAAAGATATGCTCGGGTATTGTTGTCTCATGGAACTCTGAGTACATTTCTAATCGCATTACTTGATTCTCCGACTTTGCAATCAATGAAGGAGAGAAGTATTACAGTTTTATGCACTTAAGATCCTGTGGTATTTGCTGTTTTCCTCTGCCAATGGTCTTTCTATTATTGGAGTGGCATCCAGAAATCATGTTGTTATTCCCTCTTACTGGTAAGGTGAGTCCCAAATATGTGGAAACCAAGTATTCATGGGTCTGTACTGTTAAGAAATACTCTCTCCTTCCCACAAAAGTTAGCCTCCAGGCAAAGCTGCCAGGGTTTATGTTCATTAGAAGCCTGGACTCCAAGACAGAAGGACAATAATCAAAAACCTTACTTAAAGGTTCTCTGAGCCTCTCATGACTGTATTTTTCTCTATTCACAGTAAGTGCATTGGCCTTGTAGTTACTGGATAACTCACTTTCTAGAAATAGGATGTTTATGCCATTTTTGGTAATATTGAATACTTTCATTATTTCATTATATTTTATTGAGAAGATAGGAGCTGTTTCAGGTAGGCAGCCAAGCATTTTCTTATAGTTTATTCTTTGTTGTCTTTTTTTCATTAAAAAAAAAGCAAAACAGAAAAAAAGGTAGAAATGAGGCAGAAATTTGTTTTTTTAAAAGTGACTATGCAGTGCCACAAGAAAGCACTAGATCAATATAGTTCAAAATATAAAATGTCATCTAAATATTTATAAACATTTCTATTAAAGAAAATGTGTTTGGCCCATTGGTTTAGCATTAAAAATAACTTGCAATTGTCATAAAAATCATTTAAAAGTTTTAGTGTTAATTTATCTGATCTTAATGATTAAAATGGCTTTATGATGTGCTGAAAAAAGCATAAACTAAAGCTACTTATATTACTAACAATGAGGACAACAGTGACACATTTTCCTTCATTTTCTCCAAATATGAAATATCACTAGGTTTAAGCACAGATTTCACTTTTTAAAACAAGAGCCCCCTCAACAAAGGCAAAGCAAGAGGCTTGGAGTCTCTGACTTGAAGTTATACTACCAGGCTACTGTGATAAAATCAGAATGGTACTGGAATAAAAACAGGCAAGAAGACCAATGGAATAGATTAGAAGATGCAACCACAACTACAAACACACTCAGCCACCTTATCTTTGACAAAGAGGCCAAACATGTTCACTAGAAGAAAGGTAGCCTCTTTACTAAATGATGCTGGAAAAATTGGCATTTCATATGCTGAAAACTAAAACTAGACCCATGCCTATCACCATGCATTAAACTAAAGTCAAAATGGATCAAAGATCTAAATATTGAAACAGAAACCCTAAATCTACTGGAAGACAAAGTAGGTAGAAATCGTAAAGACATAGAAGTAGGCAGAGAATTCATGAACAAAAATCAAGCTTCAAGAGAAATACTTCCAGAATCAATAACTGAGATCTCAGTTATTAAAAACTTTTATTAAAATCTCAGTTGTTAAAAACTTTTTGCATGTTAAAAGAAATTTTTCTAAAAGAGTGAAAAGAAAACTCATGAATTGGGAAACAATCTTAGTCAACTGTCCCTCAGACAAAAAACTTCTATCTAGAACA